CTTTTTATTCCAAACCAATATTTTACAACCAGCTATATTTTGCATATGCTTTCACGTTGCAAGTGGCGTTATAATACGTATTTGTTGACTCCGGTCGTTTTTGACGGTGGCAAATTGAAAATCGGTTAATTAGAAGCAAACATGGCATGAAAGCAAGACTGTGGTATACGTGCAGACTGTAGCTGTCAATCTTTAGTTTGAGCTCTTTGAAGATCTGAATACCACAACTGAAAATTATAACCACAACTGACTTATGACGTCAAGGAAATAAATATTATTATAGAGGTCAAGGTTTGTTTCCTGTGCTTTGGTGTTCTCTTCACTTTGTATATGAACTTACCCGGTTGTGGATCTCCTTCTACACAATTGCTCTGTGCCCTTGAAATTGTAAGAACGTGAGCGCTGAGAAGAATTATTCCAAGGAATATATTTTCCATCTTTATATATCACGGTTAGTCTAAACAAATTCATACAATTAAATTCACAATGAGAATGGATAATATATAGAAGCGACAATATATACAAAAAGTATTTATATAACAACGTTAAGAATTCAAGCGATTTCATCGGTGAAAGCCATGTTCTGTTAGAGGACAGACGCATGTACGCGTGATATTTGTAAATTTCGACTTTTTCAAATTTCCAAATGTTTGCGTAGATAAAAAGTAATTAAGCTATTTACCTTTTCAATGTGGGAACAACAAAATAAAGGGTGTTGGGAAAAACAAAATATGGGAATATAATATTTAATGTGGGAATAACAAAAAAGTGACCCACTCGTCTCGGCGGCTAGTGAGCCACTTGTTTGTTTGTTTGTTTTCCCACATTATGACGTCATACCAGTGGCGTCGCCAGGGAGGGAACTGGGGGGGACGAGTCCCCCCCAGTTGTTCTAAAGACCAATTTTGAGATTTTTCTAAATCTGAAGAGAAAAGGGGGGGGGGGTACGATTATTTTAATTTCTAACATTTCTATTGTTTTTTCAATAATGGGTGTGATGAATTAATTTGAGATACGAATTTTGAATTCAATTAACATTGTTTTTGATAACGTAAAGAATAACATTATAACATGAAGTACAAATACTTCGTCATCTCAAACCGGAAGTCAAACCTTTGCTTTTGCTCATTGGATTCATATTTTCTTTGGCACCATTTATGGAAATCATAGATCCTCATAAATGGAAGCGCGCGACCCCTTTACGGAGACCGTCAATGAAGCGAATCGAGCATTAATAGTAAATAATTTGGGTCCTATTAGACCACTTATCGAATTTCCCGTATCAACATCTGGGAAAAGAACCTTCAAGTTCCAATCTCGTTGGTATGACCTCCATTCATGGCTAGAATATTCTGTACTGAAAGATGCAGCATTTTGTTTTAACTGTAGGTGCTTCGGGACACTTGGTAAGTTCACTAATATACAAACTCGTGATATTTACAACTTTCAAGCATTTAGGAATTTAATATGAAGTCTGCTATCACTGTTTTTTTAAGAAAATTGCGTTTGAATGTATGATCCTAGGTAGCCCCTAATTAGTAGCAATGTTACGATTGCGATGCATATACAGTATGTAATATCGCAACAGCGACTGAGTAAGTTGGACTACTAGGGTAGGATGTGTCAATATGTTATCTACCGTATTATTCCGTACGTATTTATATAACTGGCGAAGGTAAATAAATAAATAAATAAAGTTTCAATTTATTAAATTTAATAAATTGGGATTAATAACGAGCAACATCCTTTTGCGCCTACTAGACAAAAGGCTTAATAAAACCAAGAAGCGGTTTTGACAGTAAATTAACACTATTTCTACCTTCCGGCAATATCCTAATAGGATTTTTTAAAACATATATGCAGCGGTTTTGACACTATCTGTACCTCCCGGCAATCCGCTATTTTGGGCATATCATACCTCAAGTTACTATATGCAATAGTCACATTTCAAACTCAGTTCATTCTAGTCTGACTGTCAGAAAACCGCTCTTTTCGCCACTCATATTTCGCCACACAAAACGATTTGGTAATTTATCGATGGAGTATAATTTAGACCTAAAACTTAACTTTAGTTGGAAGCTCAGAAGAAAAATTCACAAAGACAGGCTTTCGTACATGGAAAAAAGCTTCTGGCGAAAGTGGAAAACTGGCTAATCATGCTAAAACGCAAATGCATATTCTATCAATGGAGCGCATACAGAACTTTAAAAGTGAGAACCAACATATTGATGTGCAACTTGTTGGCATAGCTGAAGCTTCGAAGACAAGAAAAGAACAAGAACGAGAAGAAAATCGACAGATTGTCCAGACGATTTTTGATGTAGTCCGACATTTGGCGAAACAAAATACCGCGTTCCGTGGACACAACGAGACAAATGATTCAGCCAATCGTGGAAACTTCCTGGAAGAACTTTTGTTTCTATCTAAGTATGACAAGCCATTGAAACGTTGGATGGAAACTCACCCAAAGAATTTGTCATATTTTTCTCCCAGTATTCAGAATGAAATGATTGGCATCCTCAGCAATATGATCATTGAAATAATAAGATCTGAAGTGATTTCTGCCAAATATTTCTCAATTGAATGTGACGAAGTAACATCCCACAAACGGGCATTTATGTCTGTTATTGTTCGGTATGTCTACGATTATTGTATTTGGGAAAGGTGTATCAAGCTACATCGTGTGACTAATTTAACAGGAAAAAGCCTTGCAGCTGTTATCATTGCTATTCTTGCGAACATGAACTTTCCTATCCGCAATTTAGTTGGTAAAGGCTTTGATGGGGCAAGTAACATGTCAGGCAAGGACGAAGGTGTTCAACAACATCTCACCGCAGCTGGTGCTGATAAATCGATATATTTCCATTGTTTTGCACACAAACTAAACCTTGTCTTAGAGAAGAGTGTTAACAACGTACCTTCTGTAAATGACGTATTTGATATTATTGGTTCCGTCTATCACTATCTCGAAGGGTCTCCGAAGAGGCATGCATTGTATGAGGAGAAGCTACAACTTCATGGCATATCGAAGGGAAAGATAGCATTACACACGCTTTCAGACACAAGATGGACTGCTCGATCCGACAATTTGGAGGTTGTTTTCAACACCTTGCCTGCTATCATATCGATGCTTAAAGCAATGTCTAAAGAGGGCGAATCAGCTGCAGATGGATTGCTCGTACGTATGCGAAAGCTCAAGTTCATTGCTTCGTGTATCGTATTGAAGAAGTGTTTTGCTCTAAGTAGATCGGTCTCAGAATATCTTCAGCACGAAAACATGGACTTGGTTTCAGCGGTGTCAGGTGTGCAATCTCTGAAAGATTCTTTGTCCTCCTTTCGAAACGAGGAAAAGATGGATCAGTTTCTGCAGGAGGCACGGAAATATTGCACGGACCAAGGATTGGTTGTGGACGACTTCGATCAGGTGGATCAGCAACATCCAAACAGACCAAAGCGTTCGCGCACAATTCCTTCCTACTTCAACGATGGTACATTCTATTTAGACCAAGACGCCAGAGCAATCCAAGAAGAAGTACCTGGTAATGACCGCCCAAGAGATCTCTTTAAGCGAGATTTTTTCTTCCCATTTTTGGACTGGATGCACAACGAGCTGGAGAGGAGGTTCTCTTCTAAAGCATGTGAAATATTGTCGCTGGCCAACGTTTTTCATCCCACATATTCTAAAGAAGAAAATTCGCACCAAGCCCAAAAGCTGGCCAAATTCTACGGAATCGATCCCGATGTTGTCGTAAATCAGTTCATTCTGTTTTCTAAGTCTCATGTGGTTAAAGTCTGGAAAGTGAAGTACGAAGATTTTCTTAAGATGAAAGAGAAAGCTAACAACGATCCCTTGACGAAAGCACCCGAGACTTGGCTTTGTCTGCCAACTCTTTTAAAGGTTTTTGGAGAAAATTCAATCAGCAACCTGTATCCTGATCTGTTTGAGGTGGTAAAAATTGTCGCTACACTTCCTGCAACAGTTGCTTCCTGTGAACGAGCACATAGCAAAGTGAAGATAATAGACAACTACCTTCGAGCGTCGATGTCCGATGAACGTCTAGAAAATTTGGTTCATATCAGCATAGAAAGAGACATTGCAGATAAGATTGAATTGGATACTCTTGTTGACACATTTAGGTTAGCTAGCAACAGAAAGTTGCCCTTGTAAAAACTGTTAGTTTGTAACAAAAATCGCCGATGTTTGGCTTTCAGATTATCATAAAACTTGCCTGAAAATGCGGGAAATAGCGTTTTAGAGACTCTACGGCTGAAATGCCACCCAAAAATGGCGGCGTGAGAAAGGCTAATTCAGCATCCTTGTATATACGAATTTATAAAATTGAGAGCCAAAGTCGTGGATATGTATAAGCAAAGTATTGTTGTTTTCCAAGGTTGCTACGTTGTTTACAGAAAATGAATTCTCCATTGCGGCTCCGCATAAATATTAAAAAATCTAAATTATTAAAATCTACGGACCATATAGAACAAAAACACCTACTAACATGATCACGCCTTCAATAATGTAAAAAAATGTAGCTTTAAAAACTTTTTTTTCATGAATCATGTAAGTTATGGAGACCTGCGTAATATTAGCACTTAATCAATAAATATATAAACATAGCCTACTCATTTCAGGCTATTAATTATATAATAGCCTAATATACATAAAGATATTACTCGACTGTGATTGGTTGATTTCAGTGCAGTTAATCCCAAACAGCAGTGAAATTTTTGTAATCACAGTGCAATTTTCTGTGATCACAGTGCAATATTTTGTAATCACAGTGCAATTTTCTGTTATCACAGTGGAAAAACATTGTGATGATTAAATCAACCAATCAGTTTAAAGCAATTTAGTTTAAAGAAGTAACGGTCACAGATTGCTTAAAAAGCAAACAAACATGGCGCCGCGCTACATAATGTAAAAGTTGCCTTCGCGTGGAAAATATGGCTTTTATCTTTATTTTTAAATGGAAAAGCATTTACCTTAAACAAGTCTAACAAAAATTACATAGTTGAGTGGAATTTTCAAGCTGTAACTAGTAGCGTTGTATAATGTGATATAACAAAGCCAGTAAAAACTTTGCCGGTGGAATGTTCGCTATAAACGCGTAAGTTAAAACTTCAATTGTCTCGAACATTTTTATGTAAATTATTAATAAGTAATAGCATGGTTTCTCGTGAAATTTGGATAAACATGCACTCGTGAGTTTTTCAAAGACCTCAAATAGCACTCGTCCTTCGGACTCGTGCTAATTTGAGGTCTTTGAAAAACTCACTCGTGCATGTTATATCCAAATTGCACTCGAAACCATGCTATTACCTATACTTATCGACCACTCGTATATATCAGTACAGCAGTAACCACATAAAACTACCTTTCACGGTTTACATAATATTGCAATAATCAACATTATATTAAGATGGTGACACATAACAGCGACATCCCGTGATAAATTTGTCGCCTTCGACATACATACTCGTTGTGCTGTATAAAAATACTTAATTACATAATAAATAGAGAAAACCTTTTCTTATAACTGCGAAAAATCGTAGTTTTCGGATAATATAGTATCTTGCAATGTTATCAATGAACTATATATCCCTTTTACATTGATTAAATATCATGCAGAAATTATTCTGATTTCGACTTCAGAATATACTGTACTATAAGCTATGAGTTAGCTAATTCTCACCTGAAATTTTTCTATTTAGGCTTGAACAAATGCTGAAGGTGATCACTTGGTTAGTCTTTGGAGCTTTGTACTTCAATGCTGTAATGAGAAACCTTTGCAGACAAACCCCTATTTAAATGCATATCAAATTTTCGGGCCAATATTTCAGCACTTCCATTAAGAACATGTTTACGACCAACTTAAGTGAATTATAGCATTTGTTTTCCTCCCATGGTATATTTCTGCGGTTTCCTGTTCCTAATTTGGTGCTATAGCACCATTATATTGCACTGCTCGTCGAGTGCCGGATCAGGGAGTGATGCATTGCGTGATTCAGAATGACCAATTAAGTTTGGTTTATGATAATTACGCATATTCGCTTGAGTTAGCAGCAAAACTATCACATTGCAATGATGTTTGTTTTTGTATCGATATAGTGCTTGACGATGATTTGTTTTCCAGTTATTTTTATACATTATGAATGACAACAGTTAAGAAAAAATCATGAACGGCATTACAATTAAGTTGTTAGATAAGAATTCTGAAACAATTAGCACAATCAGACTGAAAGAAGGTGTAACTTTTGCTAGAACATACTGTCTGATTGTTCAGTACAAGAATTGATAAAAGAATTAGACTGATGTTATTAAGTTTTGTGTCTTTTATCAGGGCCGTAGACACCGGGGGGAGGGGGCTGGGGAGCTTCAGCCCCCCAATAATTTGTAAACTAGGGATAATTTGTAAAGTTTGAGAGGGAAATAATGACTTAATAATCGCCCCTGACAATCAGCCCCCCCCCCCCGCCAATACAAAATTGCTTCCTATGGTAGTGGTAAACCTTCATTCGAAACGGCAGTATGTCAATCGCCCATGCATGTTTTAACTGACAATTTCGGCGGTGTTATAGTGAACCGTACATGATAAGGTTAACGTTGAAATTGTAAGGTTGATGTTAACGTACTTCTAAGATATTAAGGGATGTTTATGTCCGTAAGTCGATGTGCCTGACATGAACAAAGATAATTTTTGAAATGTCTTTGTTTGGTAAAGTGGCTCATAGGGTTTCATGCATTGTGCGGTGATATGCTTGTGTGTAAGTAAGTTGCTTATTAGTGACTTTTGACACTTTTCCAGAATATTGTGGTCTGTGAACGAAGGTCAGTATGTAGACCGCAGTATTGTTCTTGACGTTCTATAGCCTACAACCATGCATCCATGCGTGCGCAATGCCGACGACCAATATCGAAATTTTGCAATTTATGTCTATTTCCGCTATAATAATACATTTCCTCCAGGCATTTTTTGATAAACCTCTAAACTAACTAGATCCTCGAACGGCTCGAAGGGTTTTATAGGCAATCTTAAACTTATATGGTTTCCTGAAATTCGGCCTCAGTGATTCACACATGACAATTCTGCCTTGGTTTAGAAAAGTGATCATGATTTCCAAATGCATCGGTCCTATTTTTGGATATATCTACAGGGGGTAAATGCTCGCATGCATAATATCTGCTTAAACAGTTTTGATTGTTGACAACCAGTGAAGATCGCGAGCATTCAGGAAGACGTTATGCGCGCAATGTGTATTTAACCTAGAACATCACGTGTACGTACTGTAAGTTGCAGTAATATATAACGACAGTATACTCAGTTTCTGGTTTATCATTTCATGCACACAAAAGAAACATTAATAAATTCGATCACAATACCACAAAAACCTGGCGTTTTCTATATCGTGAGAATATACATTGGAGTTTAAAAGGGTATCCTTTGACAGTTCTTCCCCGACAGTCGTCATGAGCCGGAAAAAACAAAGACAAATAAATTAGCGCTATGCGCGTATAGCAACATTGCGCTTCATCGTGGGAAACTCTATTGAATTATCATAAACGAAATGTTTTTAAATGACCACACGTATATACCCAATTAAGGAAAGTTTGCGTGTTCGATGCATGTCAGTATACAAAGGTTAAAATTTATTCCGCCGTTTTGGTTTGAATATTCCGGAATATTCAGCCAAAAACGGCGGATCCAACATGGTATTTCTGCACGTTTTTTTCATTTCAAAACTTTCATAATTAATTTAGGAAACAAAAATACTGTTGATCCAGTAAAGATTACTCAGAAGACTAATTTGATCCGATTTCAACTTCATAAAGAAGTATTGGCTTGATCGATATGGTTGGTTTGACGTTCTCTCTGTGATCTTATAAGAATTAAGAACAGGTAACCGGTTTCGAACAACCGGCCCCGCAGCTCGTTTTAGGATCAGAATTTAGGCAATTTAGTGTTAAAGTTATTATATTAAACAGATTTTTGAACTTCGGAGTTTTACAGCATTGGAGCTCTTACCAGCACTGACGTACTGACGGCGGGAATTTCAGGGTGGGTGAGGTGGGTGGGGTTTGCGCTTTAACCCCGCAAATTTTTACAGAAAGGTTAAATCGTATATATCTCTTACATAATATGTAGAAGATTTAATAAAATTGTTTGATTATTTGAGATAGTTCTTATTTAGAAAGCGTGAGCCGCCCACAAACTACTGGTGATTAATTAGCCTGGTGATCAGGTCCTCTTCTGGGGCTGCTATAGCTGACACAAATCGTTGATTTTCTCATTTTCAACCGACTTCCAGAATCTGGATATTTCGCTAATTGACCAAGACACAATAGAGCGCATAATGTGACGTCGTATTTGAATTTCCATTCACTCTCGGTAAAGGCCGTTTTCCACTTCGCCCACATATCGTACCGTAACCTACCGGTGAGCATGCGCAGCTTGAAGATGGGTTTCAAATTTACGTACGTCCGGTTGATTCGCGTATCAAAATAAAAAGTTCGTCGCTAGTCAACTTTTTAGCGTACTACGGAAGTATTAACCAATCTGAACATTCGCGGCTAAATTTTGAAATTTAAAATTTGTTTTGATACCTTACGGTACGGTACGCTTGAAGTGGAAAACGACCTTAAGTGAAACCTGTGTCGTGTAATAGGCCACTCCAGTCTGCATTGTTGGAATTTGGAAATATTGTTGTTTTATGGCTTTATCATTAATGAGTGAAAATGAAAGAAAAATAGCTCGATGACGCTCGTGCGGCCTTGACAATCCAATGACAGCACCGTGTGTTAATATTTATTTGCTTTCTTGACATTATATAGGTATGTACACTCCAAATTTCTGGGAGTTGCTACAACACCAAAATGGTGTAATCAATAGTGTAGTGTCAATTGACCTGATATATCTTCTACATAGTTTAGGTAGAATATATATATATATATATATATATATATATATATATATATATATATATATATATATGGAGTATTAAAGTGGCTCAACATATACAGTACAAGTATCTTATATAGGCCTAATGGACTAAAATCCACGATTTAGATACTTTTTTTTTATTACTTGTTAAAAAGCAAAAAGTTTCTTACAGATGTGAAACAACATCCAAAGGGTTTGAATATTTTCACAAAAGTTACACGGCAGCCGCTGCTATGGCAACAATGACGTTTCAAGATGGCGGATGTTAACTCGAAAACAGCATTGGTGACCCACTCAATTATTTTGACAATTTCAAAAGTATTCTGTTGAGCCAAACTGCCATATTACCAATTACTGCACTGTTGAGCCAAACTGAGATTTTCAAGATTTAAAAAGAAATTTATAAGTTTTAATAAAGTTTAAAAAAGTCAAAAAAAAGTTAAAAAAGTTAGATTTTCAAAAAAGTTAAAAAAGTTAGGTTAGGGTTAGTGGTTGGGGGTTAGGGATTAGTGGTTAAGGGTTAGAGTTTGGGTTAGGTGCCGCGAATTTCTCATTATGATAAATTCAAAATGTTCCGCGAATTTATAATCATAATGATAAATCGGACGTGTTTAAGAATTTACTCGTATAGTAAATTCAAAGGTGGAGCTCATGCTGTTTTATACGATATAAAAAATCATGTTCATTTACGTAAAATGTTGGCTATATTTTCTCGGTTCAGATAATGTTGATTTTTAAAATTCCTTCCCCATTGAACTGATAAGATGATGTAATGAATCAATTTCTCATCCTCCGTTCTCCAAGTGGCGAGTATTGTTACGGATTGCTTTTTGCAATGCTCTCATTGTAACGTATAAGCACCAATACGCCCTTTCGATAATTATACGTCACACGTACTTTTTGGTCTTGGAGCCTCGCTCTCATTTGTAATTACGCAAGGTGATTGCCTCACGAGAGCGAAGTTCCCAGGCCAAATGACGTAATTATCGAAAGGGTGCACTTAATCGGAGCAATTATACCGCTCAATTCGTGATTCAAAATGGCGTCAAACAAACAACAACATGCTATTCTTTACTTATAATATAGCTTGCTCACTCTTTCAAATGACGCCTGAAATATTTTTGCTATTGGTAAAAGTATACAAAAAAGTCGAACAGAAAGGGTGGGGGCGGAAGCTTTTTAAATGCATTTGGACGTAATGTTTCGCGAACGAAGCAAAAACCTATCGGGTACAGTGTAAACGTAGCTTTACAAAGGCCTACATAGCCTCCTCCGCAGGCTTCTCTATGGGTTTTAGCCTGCGACTTTTTCCCACCACCCGATTCATCTGTTGAGATGCCTGCGATGGTGGCTAAGGCCTACTCCAGAACCATAAATCGTTTTAAGTCGCCCTTAGTCGCCCTAATTGACCTAAAGCCGCGCTAAGTCACATAGTAACCTCTACAAAGTAATGGCTATGTTTTCTAGACATATATAAACTCATGAAACTCAAAGAAATTTCCATATTATGAGTAAAAAAACTCAGTATATAGTTGTCACCACTTTGTTTAAAGAGCTAATTATTTCAATAAAAAGAATGTAAACTAAGCTGACGCATCCAAGCAGACTGTGCTACATCCTTAAGTGTATATACAATGCCATCTCTGCACTGTGTGCCATGGCATCAAATTGTATCCCCTTTACAAATCCTGCCCAACTTCGGGTAAATTTAAGTACTAATGCCAGGGTCTGTCCCAGGAGAGGATGGCAATCAATGCTACATAAAGGGTTTTTCAGTGAAATTATTTCAAATAGAACAAATTATTCAGTCTATTCCTAAAACACTTTACCCCAATCAAGTCTTGAACAATGTTTGGTCATTCTCGAACTCCCTGCTTATTAAATTAGTCAATTCCTGGACATGAGTCAATTCCTGGAGTAACCATCTCCCCGGGGACACACCCGGCAATATGCCTGATAAATTAAACAGTTCACGGGGTCGGGAATTTGCTTTTGGGGGCCGGGTATTGTTATAGTCGTTATAGTCGCTCAGAACCCCTGGGATTTGACAAATGGTTTCCCAGAATCCCCCCCCCCCGCAAATTTCAAGGCAGCAAAACCTAGTTTCAGCCACCAATGCGGGCGCGCTGATCGTATTTTGTGCCCTCGTGGTCAAGGTGGCGTGAAATTTATTGTCAGAATCAGCGAAAATTATAACCTGTGCCATGCAAATTTAAATACAACAAGACGCTCTGTTGAGCGTTTAGTCGCTGGGTATTAAAATAAGGCACGTCTTGATTAGAATAACTTACCCTATATTATCAACCTCGTACCCAGGGCTTCTGCGCTCGTTGCTCTCTCTTCATTCTCGTAACCAGAACCGTTCTTACGCGCGGTCAACAGAGTGCGACGAGGGGATCTGGCCAAATCCAAACCGGAAACCAAAAAAAACATGGTATTAGAACAATATCCGGTATTAGAACAATAACCTTCGTTGTGGCCAATCAGATGCCAGTTTGATGTGGATTTGGCCAGAGCCCCTCGTCGCGCTCCGTAAGAAAGGCTCTGGGGACGAGAATGCTCTCTTCTGAGAGCAATCTTGAAACCAGAGCCTGCAAGCCTCCACAGAAGATATGAGAGCAATAAGTACAGAAACCCTGGGTACGGTGATTTCATTGGATTTATCTGGCTTAAGCCAGCTTCGAGAACATTGGAAACCAGGATTCAGCAATTTTATTCAAATTTATTGCAACTCAACATTTTGACCCTTCAATTTTCTCAAAAAATGTAATACCCCCTCCTTATTATTATTATTATTATTATTATTATTATTATTATTATTATTATTATTATTATTATTATTATTATTTATTATTATTATAACGAATATTTACACAGGCTGGATATATACATTTCAGCACAAAAGTGCTGTTATCAATGTGAGTCTTGTTACACCTTAAGAATGAATTAAAAACTATTAAACTACTACCTATAGTTAGGAAGTTAGCCTACTACATATTATAACTACTACTTTATCATTTATTTATACTCATGGCCCCACCTTTTCCCCCTCCTCCCTCTTCCATAAATAAAGACTTGTCCCAAACTCCAGGAAAAATCTGTGCACTTCACAAAACATTTATAACAATTTATTGCGTTCGCCTCAGGCTGGGTAACCACAACAGAAATTGCCAAAATGTCCTTTCAAGGTAGCTTGCATGTCAGGGAAGAAAATGGCTGCCCCCAAGCCATTTGCAAACAAATTCAATATCTTTTCCAGAAAAATATGCCAAATCCCCCATGATGGAAAACGTCAAAATCCTCACCCCCAGCTAGGCTAAAAATATCGGCAATAGCTCCGCCCCTTGGATTAGGAAAAGCTGCAAAGGCCCGGGGGTGAGGGGATGGGAACTGCTGGAATTAACTGATACATTATTGATAACTTTTTCACTCCAATAGATAGAATACATAATTATAATACAAGATTGGCATCAAAACTGAGTTATTACCTTCCTAAAGCAAGAACTAATTATGGTTTATTCAATATAAGATTTCAAGGAACCAAGATATGGAATTCCATAAACGAAAATATAAAACTGTTTTCTTTTTCAAAATTCAAAAATAAACTAAAAAGTGTTATATTGCATAAATATTAAACATTTTATTCTCAGTAAAATTTTTCTTCTTCTTGCTATATAAGTTGATAAAGCTGTTCTGATCCTTTTCCTTCATCCCAACTCCAAACCAAAATCTACTGGTATTGTATTATTATAATATGTTGCAATTGTAAATTGTATTTAATTTATTCTTGGTGTAGTTCTATGTGTAAGTCTGGTTTCTGTTACTGCTAGTGTCATGTTGTACCTATTTTCCGATTATATAAGTTACTTAAGTATTTTTGCGAACTGGCTTCCTGGCAATTTTAGCCATCTTAGGTTATTTCGGGAAGCCAGTACCCTACTTTTATTATAATTAATTTGTCTTATAATCCATGTAGTATTTTAACAAATGGGTAGAATAAAGTGTATTGTATTGTATTGTATTCATTAGATTATCAAAGCTAATTTTAAAATATGACAATAACAGGCAACTCTTCCGCCAATATCTTAAAAAGAAATATTCCAATAATTTTTCATTAATTAAACAGCCAGGAATTACATACCAAATAATAACAATGGTTAAAGACTGTGTTAATCAACAGCAAAGGCAGCAATTAACATGGTCAAAAGTAGTTAAAGTACAATTACAAGTATGGAATATCATTACGTAAACAACAATTTGATATTACCTTAAAAAGAAAAGCTACTAATTCTGACCAATGGCAATTTTGTGTGTACTACGAATCATATGCATTTATTGTCTCCGTAGCAGGCTTTATTTTACCCTGTGAGCAAAGTCGTCTCATATTTCTTCTCGGCATGGCACGGAGAAGCGAGAGAGATTCTGCAAAACTTGTGTATATTCTTTGTGGAGCCGACAATCCAAAAACTTGGATAATTATGTATAATTTCAGGTTTGATACTGGTTTAATAACTGGTTTTGATGCCGGAAACAACGAAACCAGAAACTACTTATTAAATCTTCTTCTGGGAAATAGACAGTTGCTTAGCAACCTTCGCACATGCTCAAATGAATTTCTACCCAAGTTCTGCAGTCTCTCTCGCTTCTCCGTGCCGAGAAGAAATAGGAGAGGACTTTGCTCGCAGGGCAGCTTTATTTCAAGGATAGAGCCTGACACGCTGGATACTTTCAAAGTTAACCCCCCCCCTACTTTATTACTTTACTCTGCGTAACACTAGACAATTTTACTTGAGGACGCCATATTCAATATATTATTCTCACCAGGAAATTCCATTTTGTTTGCACCCCTTGCACTATTGTGTTTCATTATGGCATCTTCAACTTGAAAGAGTCTATTACTCTGGCCCCAACATTTACCCGTTAAAAACACAATATATTGATGAAATAACTGAAATGTTACAGGTTTACACGCCTGACACCTGGTCCTTGTATTTCTGTCTTGTTAGGCTACATCATGTTCTTTTGACCGCTTATCCGTATCAGGATTGCTTGCATCAAGGGCCGTAGCGTAGACAAAAGCATCCAAATAAACGGCAGTTTGCGAATATTATATAAATATTGTGAACTTTTGTCGTCTATTTCAAGCTTGTAGCGATCCAAGTTACTCACATAAAATTACTTTCCCTTTATAAAGTCTGGTTCATCGGAAAACTTTAAAGTTTCATCGGAAAAATAAAAAAAATATGTACAAAATCGATCCGAAGAAAGCGGCCATCTTGAATCCAGCGATGAATAGTAATGACGTAATTTTTATTATTTATTAATGACGTAACGTTCATTTTGTGGCTAACGATCCAAGATCCGACACAAATCGAAGCCGAAACCTAGAGTCGCTGCGGGCTGTGCCCCAGCGACTAACTATCAAGATTTATGATTTCATTAATTGTTTAAAACTTTTAACCACTCTTAATTAGCAAGATTCAAGTTTATATTAAAGTTAGTTTATAATATTCCATAGCAGCTTAATGTGCTGTTTAATAAACGAGCAGGAGTGTTTTATTAGGTTTAAAGACACGAGCGCGCAGCGCGAGTGGCTTTAGACCTAATAAAACACTCCTGCTCGTTTATTAAACGGCTTCAAACACGACTACAAATTCAATAAATATACCGCCTTATTAGTATTCTTTATATAAAAAATACTAATGAGGACACGACAACAATAGATGATAGTGCCTGATTAGTATTCTTTATATAAAGAATACTAATTAGGAGTGTTTTATCAGGTTTAAAGCCACTGTACGTGACATATTATGGTTGACATGATTTTCCAATAAGCTTATGAATTATTAATGAGTGTTTGAATTAACGTTTAAAATCCTCCCGGGGTGGGGCTTTTTCCACTCTCAGCTTGCCCAAGGGCCGTGCATTAGTCTTCAAGTTGTGTCCTGGCACCCGGGTATTTACACTATCGTAACCAATCAAATCAAATGCACGGGTGTGTTTCCGGGGGTGGGTGAGGGATGGTTACTCCTGGAATTGACTCATGCATAACTCACCAGACAGGAACTAATTATCACAATATATCAGTTTCTTCCGGTTGTGTAGTGCAATTGGAAATAGGCGAAGAAAGGTTCCTTTTATTATAATTACGTCTTTGTATTAGTTATCTTGCCGATTTTAACGTATTTTAACAACGCCAGCAATCAAAAATATTTCAAAATGTGAAGTATCACAACAACAAAACCGGTAAAATTACAAAATTCAAATATTTACTTCACTGCACTAATCACTATAGAGCGTTTGCAAATGACGTCACAGCCGCCATATTGGGGTTCCAATTCAAAAGAATTTTAATTAGATACTTTTGCCTAGAACACCAACATGGCCGACATGGCTTTTGTTGAGTTAGTCCCTGGGGATTGAGTCCAAACGCTCTATGCGATATTATATCATTACATGCATGTATATTTTGTATTTTGAATTCTTGGCGCAAGTCCTCGAAGACATTGCGCGTGCGCTTAGTGACAGGGGGTAGAAATCTCGGAGAAATGTGAAGTATGTGCTAGAGAAGCATGTCCAAAACGTTTTCGATAGGCGAAGCTAACACGTTTCCGAGCATATAATATTTTGTTAATTTACAAACTTTGTGTTTATTTGCTGTTGATATTGGTTGATGGCGTTAGAATTACATTAGGAAAGTTTATTTGAAAACAAAACCTGAAGAAACGTGCCCGGAATATCCTTAGGAAAACTCTAGTTGAGATCAAACTGGTATATACTTTAACTTAGCGACATTTTATGCCTGTGTCAAGGAGAAACAGCAAAGGTATCAGCTGGACCAAAACATGGCTCTACTACCAGGGCTAGCTGCCATTAACTGATACCTATAAGTGTACAGTGATTCAGTGAAGCGTATAATTTCTCTAACAGTAATATACTCAATTAGTGATTCATTTTAAAAAAAAATTTCTCAGAGTATAAGCGTTTAGAAGCATCGCATTTCTCATTAGAGAAGATAAATTGCATTGAAAATTATAATAAGATGATATTATTACGATGAAATCGCTCGGGAAAATTAAGCAATTCAAAATGGCCACAATCGAACCTTTCCCGGGCGATCACTACTAAGACCAGCATTCTTCGCGGGTATCAAGCATTGTGACGTCATTATGCATAAGGTATATTGCCCAAAGTCGTCTTAAACCGCCCTAAGTCGCTTTTAGTCACCATAAGTCGCCTTGAATCGCAACTAATTTCGGCTACGGTTTAAGGCGACTTTAGGACACGCGGAGTAGGCCTTTACAATTTAATTCGTTCATTCGTTCATTTGTTCGTTCGTTCATTCTTAGTTCATTCATTCATTCATTCGTTCGTTCATTCATTCATTCGACAACTACTGTAATTGCGAGATGAACGTACATAATTTATTTTTTATTATTTATTTCCAATAACATTCTATCATGATGATAACAACGATTGAAGGATCCACAATTACTCTGTGAACATTCTGCCTTTGACGCCATGCCGAAATATATCTACAATGGAATGCATGACATGCAGGATTAAAAAATAGAAAAGCTTTCTCATAGGTTCTTAGTCATCATCACTATCACTATCACTGTCATCATCACTATCACTATCGCTGTCATCATCGCTGTCATCATCACTGTCATCATCGCTGTCGTCATCGCTGTCGTCATCGCTGTCATCATCTATTAGTAAAAGGAGAAAATGTGGCAGCAATTTACAATTTTATTGAAGTTGCGCACGTCATATAGATTATTTACAAAAGTGAAGAGTAATACGGTTATCGTGAGTAGTAGATATAAATTGGAGTTAATAATTCATTATGTCGTGCGCAGTGGACAAAGTAGCATAGTGCTTTCGAGTTGTCCACTGTCTACGATTTGCTACTAATAAGAAAGGAGCGGCGCTAGAACGAATTCACAACTGTATATACTCTATAATTACATTTGAGTTAATAGGAGCGATTGCTTATAGTGTTTCTTAAACAGATAGGACGAGCTAGATTTTTTTATTGTGTAATCTACTGATTCCCATATTTTAGATGAAGCGAATTGAAATGTAAATTTTCCATAATTAGTTCTTACTTTTGGTCTGCTAAAATTTTCTTTTGAAGAAAACCTCGTATTATAGGTGTGCGACGCGGAAGCTGACGTTACGTATGTAGAAAATATATTAGGTACATTACTTGGTTCATTAATTAGCTATTTTAAGCTTGAAGACATTATCTAATTTTAGGATTCCCAAAAGGCTATAGTAAGGAGTGGCATCCTCTCTTTTGTGAGAAAAAAATATGCTTCTAATACATTTGTTGAGAGCTATGCGGAGCTTGGTTAAATGAGAAGTATAAGTATTGGCCCAGCTCATTAGTCCATAGTTTATAAAAGGGTAAATTAAGGTATAGTAGAGTTGCTTAAGCGTATTTAAATCAAGGTAATATCTTAATTTGTTTATGATGCCAGTATTTTTTGAAATTTTAGCCTTTACGTGTTTGATTTGTTGTTCCCAAGTGATGTGTTTGTCAATGTACATACCTAAGTAGCAACAGAAACACGGTCTTTTGAAAATACGGGAATGAAAAGAAAGTAAAACTATGTAGGATACATTTTCGAATTACAATTAGTAAGGTGTAAGAGCAAATTTAGTTTCTTCATCCAGTAATACACTGGGCTTTTTTCTGTCTATCGGTGTCGACTTACGACTTACCTTTTTTAGTGGGTGTTGGTGTTGTCGTTGGTATTGGCGGTATAACTGTTTCTGTCGTCACAACTGAAATTCAAAGCGATAGTTTTTAAGAAATTGATCGCTGAATTCTGATTAGGATATATTATAGTAAAGAGTAAATAATTTCCACCATATCACAGATTGCTATTTGTATCGCAGCAGGAACACATTACCTGGTGTTTGAGTTGTACTGCTTCCATCATCTAAGGCATAAAGGATTAAAGGAATACCGAATGGTTTTCCGTGCAGGATTTCGTGATCGATGCACGAAATATAATTGTTTTATAAAATAGTTACAGTGAAACAATGACATTTTGAGAATCCCACGAAGGCATTTAAATTCCTCGTGCAGGATAGCCTGATCCTGCACAACTTTTGACCAATCAAATTGCGTGTTTCACTGTAGTTATTATATAAAGCCATTTACTATAGCTGACTAGCGAAAGTACTGATATTGAAAAATAATATAATGATAGAAGTAGTAGCTAGAAGGAAAATACTTATTATTATATACACAAGGTCTGGATATGAGGTATTCTGCAATCTGATTGGTTCTCTACTAGCAGGATATTAGCTCATATCCTGCTAGTAGAGAAAAACAAAATGGCGGCCAAACTGAATTTACGATGTTTTGCAAACGAGAAAACGGCAAGTTGTCGCTTTTTATAACCTTCACAGGATTAAAAACAAAATGAAAAAACTCCCACAATTTTTTTTCAGGTTAGCAAATATTTTTTTAAAATTAAAATGGTTAAAAATAAATATTTTTGAGAAAATAATCGGCCGAAAGAGCGAAGAATCCGAAGATAAAAACATAAACGAAATAGAAAAATATTGAAAATATTCGAAAAGCAAAGTCTGTGAATTCAGACCTTGTGTATATAATAAAACAGTTATTCCACTCACTCTCGTCGAATATGAGCGATAGCCGATTCGGCGCTACGCGCCTCATCGGCTATCAGCTCATATTTGACTCGAGTTCGTAGAATAACTGTTAAATATACCAAACAGACCGATGGTGGTGTAAGAAAGATGAGATTTATAGATATATTAGGAGCGATTGTTATCAGAAAGATAGGATCAGAAGAAATATCTTAATTTTACAATCGAAACTAGGATTGGGTTCAAAAAATGGTAGGGAAATGTGATTTAGAATAAAAGTTAGGAAATGGGATCTATATATATATATACCCTCTTCCGGCAGTACCCCGTAATTGTAACAGTATTTCACGACTGCATGGGTGCATGAGTTCAAGTTTATTTTACAACCGGTCAATCTTCCTGAAATACTCACCTGTTGGTATTGGTGTTGGTGGGATGGGTGGAGATGTTGATGTTGGTGGAACTAGAAATGATATTAAGCAAACGGTTAGTAAACTACCACAAAAAAATAGCTATGGGTGTTGGTATAGGTAAGATTAGGATATACCAGTAGTTAATTTGTCATTTTATACTCCTGCGTTTTATACTATTGCAACGAGTAACAACCATAGAAATAATAGACATAGAATGCGTGCTCCTATCTTTTCTCAGTAAAAATTTTGTCTCCACAAAATGGCGGATTTATAAGGGCATTTTGGCTAGTCCCAGACTCCTGCGGCAAGGAATTTCGCGCGTTTGCCGGGAGTGCGAAATTTTTTTCAACAAAGTTCGCAAAAAAACAATTATATCGTGAGAAAAAAGTTTTTAAAGTAGAAAAACCCATTCCCTTGTTTTTTTTTACGAAAGGGAATGGTTCTTAACAGAATATATACAGAAATCGTCGTTTGAAAATACATTTTCAACGTTGTTGTGCAAGCCAAAACAAAACACGAAAAATTAAGACAAACTCAAACTCAATAGGTATGTTTTAAAAAATATATTTCAACTGTTTTATAATATAAATGGAGGTCAATAATCTTTTTAAACTTACACAACTACTTTTTATATTTTTTTATACGTTGCTTGAGCTTGAGACAACGCTTTTGAAACCATATGTTTTCGACGATTATTTAGGCAACTAAATATTTTTGTTTCACAAACATGAAAACACTTCGTTTAGATTGAAGAAAAACGAAACCCGGCGAAGAAAGAACTATCATTTCGTAATTTCATAAAATATTAGCAAAACAGTTACGTTCAGAGCATGCAAAAATTTATACGCGAAACTACTTTGTTTTTTACAAGGCTGCACGATTTTCACCGTTTTTGTAACGGTACATTTGCTTTGAGCCTTTAAAGAACTTAATATTTCAAATTCCTATGATCCTATCCTCAAACTACAAATTCAAAACGTTTTGACAATGAAAACTTTATAGTTTTAGCTTTGTTTATAGTTTGTAGTTTGCACTCTATACTCAAATTCAACATGGCGGTTTTATAAGGGCATTTTTGTTTTCAATTTGGATACCGGTCACGTGACCAAGCACGCATTGTAGGTCTAATATTTCTATGGTAACAACATACATCATGCCGTAGCATTAGTCATGCGAGGATGCTCTTTATCATTCTAGTGGAAAGAAAATAAGTATATGCGAATTTTCTGAAGGCAAGCAAAAATTTAGCCATTACTTCTGGACAGGTTCAGTTTTAAAGATTTTAGCCTTTACAATAATTATAATATTTCGCACAAACAGCTTGTCAACCACATATTCAGTTATAAGTTTTCAGATGAAAAGTTTTCATTGGTCAAGAAATGCTGGGAAATGGGATTTTGAAAAAACTGGCCATTCCGAAAATGGGGATCCAGGCACATCTCTACGACCCTACCAATTGTAACAGTTCTTCACGACTGGGATATATACGCGATCTGAAAGATTTCCTGAAGACTTGATTTATTTTATAAGCCGTTTAATCTTCAAGTAGTTACCTGATGTTGTAGGCAATGTTGTCGTCATATTTTCTGCTGGTGTTGATGTTGCTAGAAATTATATTAATTATAGTCGATAGTATAGATTACCATAATAAAATTGCTCGCTAACTTTACAGCTTCTATCATTTGACACTGCTGTATTTATACTATAATACATCATGCAGTATTAGTCATGCGAGGGTCCGTGAAGTCGTCAACCAACCGTGAAGTCGTCTTATCAACTCAACAACTGACAAGATATGGAGTTCGGACAAAATTTTAAACGGAACGACGTTATAATATTAATATGAAAACAATTATGACGTCATTCTGTGGAATTTATGAATACGAAATGTATAAACGCTATCGAAACAATATTGCACTGGCTTCGGTCGTGGGAAACAAATTTTAAAATACTGTATGAAGAAAGAAATATCAACAAGAACAGATTTCAAAATTTGATCGGATACCAAGATTATACTAAAATTAAGCACTGACGCAATGCCATTATGTCTCTACATATGATAAACAATATATTTTCAGTAGTATAGGTTTCTAACTTTCACTGTATTGTTGCAGTGATTTTCATTAGTTTCTCTCCGTATTGTCAGTATCGGCTATGCAAACTCGAACTGCATGAAAGCGGGAGCTTATATATATCTGATACAACACGGACGCGAATGTTGTAAATGGCTTGTGAAATGTCTTATATGAGGATATATGTTTGTGCTTCGATTCCCATGCACTGCGGTCAAGCAAACTTTTCACCTTGCCCAGTGTAGACCCACTCAGAGTAACATCACAAGCACAGAGAACATTCGTATTCTTCAACAATATAAAGTGAATTAAAATATTAAACTTAAAGTTTATGCAAATCAGCATGATCTCCAGCATGATTCTGTATCAGACATACAAATTACTCGTTAATTATTCGTGATTATATGAAATTATTACCCACCTTGCAAGAGTGTAATATTGGCAGTCTTGAAACGGCATCTCCCCTGCTCATCCTCTGCAGTACAGCTAACTGTCCGTGATAGATGAGAGAAGTAGGGTTCAAGATCAAAAAAACATTGGAAAACTGGAGTCATACCGTCAGGGTCGCATATTCCCACTGGCAATGGGCCGACATGGATGGTGATCTTCACTGGTAGCAAAGGAGAGCTGACGTTGATTGCATTACAGTAGATAGAAAGGTTACCCGATTCGAGTATAGTTGTTGATGACACAGTTATGTTTACATCTGGTTCAGGTTGGCCTGGAAGCAAAGAACAATTTTCTTATAAATCCCATTTTATATTAATTGTAAACATGTTTTGCCATTATCTTTATATGGCATATTGAGTACAAGTACAGTATATAACACTTATTTGTTGACTTCTGCCATTTTGAGCGTCAAAGCAAAACTGTGGTACTGACTGCGGCTCTCACTTTCAGTTTGAGCTCTTTGTCAATAGTTATAATGCTCTGTAGTACTCGGTTGAATGAGAGTTTTTTCCACCCAAAATGGCGGATTATTTTGATTCGTCATACTGCACTGAGACTTGAATATACTTCTGACTTGTTGTAAAGCCTGGTCTCCATTTGACGCCGACAGCCGGCATGATCCGTTTTCGGTGATTACTCATGAGTAAAATCCTTTGTGTATCTGAAATAATTTTCTCCTTAAATGAATAGAGACCTTACGATGTAGGACGGCAACACAACGACAACGACCAGAATAAAATCATTCAAACAAACGATTGTAAAGAATATTTGTATGTATGAATTTAAAACTGTTTGGTTAGCTTGCAATAGTGGCTTTATTGTTGAGAAAATTCCACTGTAGTACTGAGCTAGTACTACAGACGTAAAAGTCCGAAGTTCCCCGTTATAAACAGACCATGGTGATGCATGACGTCTCAAACTCCTATAATTTATAGTGTATTAATTATTCATTTCTTTTCTTAAAAATTACGAATCTCATTATATGAATAGCCGTCGTCGTCACGTTGCTGTCCCACATCGTAAGGTATCTATTACCGACAATGTGTCGGCGGCTGGTCGGCGTCATATGGATAGATACCAGGCTTAATATAGTTAAAAGAAGTTAGATAATCTTGAAATACGGATTTGTCATGAAAAAGGTTAGGATATACAGGCGATCGTTCCAGGTAGAGCTTATATTTTATCCCATTCCCAATTAGATTAATTGAAACTTTAATATACGTGTGTGTGCATAGTGGTGGTATATGCGTAGTGGTGCTGGATGTGAACAGAAATTTGTGGTTTGAGAAATTATCACCACAACTGACTTACGACGTCAAGGAAATAAATAGTATTTATAGGTCAAGGTTTGTTTCCCGTGGTTTGGTATTCTCTTCACATTTTCTATATGAACTAACCCGGTTGTGGATCTCCTTCTACACAATTGATCTGTGATGGAGAAATAGGAGCACTTGAAACTGTAAGAACGTGAGCGCTGAGGAGAATTATTCCAAGGAACATATTCTCCATCTTTATATATCACAGTTATTCTAAACAAATTCATACAAATTTAAAATTAGAATGGTAATACAAGAAAGACCTGATTGGCGGGTTAATTGAACATAATACAAAAAAGGCGTGGTTAATTGAACACAACTCTGTCGCAGGAAGCCGGAAACATGTTCAACAGCCGAAATAATGGGTTTTTCTCGAACTCTTTTTCAATGGTTAAAAAACGAGTGCCATGATTTAAAGTGAGACTGTGCATTTCGTGACCGTTGTACGAATTTATAAAATTTAGAGCCATGCAAATTCGTGTGCATTTATGAGGTAAACAGTATTGGTTTCCAAGGTTGTTACCCTTGAGTTCCTTGACTAAGATATTATTATTAATGATTTTTTTCATTCCTCAGCAAAAGTTGCATTCCCAGGAAGCCAAAGAAATCGTTGGGCATATTTAACAGGAAAGATTTTTGAGGCACGTTGCATGCTTACTGACTAAATTAAATCACATTTTTATGAATTATAAATTAATGGTATATTTATCATCGTTGTAACGTGCATGTATATATTTGTATGTTTTTGTACAATTTAAATATTGGCAATAATTAATATTGTAAATAATTGTAATTCTGATGCAGGACCCCACTGAAAAACACGTAAGTGATGTGGGTATCCTGGATAAATATAATTATTATTATTATTATTATTTTAAATTAAACTTCAGTTAAATAATATAAATGGGAGATTTGTTGGACAGTTTTGCTGAGTGGTGAAACTGTAGCCATAGCAACATGCAGGTCCGTCATGATTTTCAAATTTATAATGATTTGCATTATTCAAACATTTCGAAATGCATTGTCGTTAACCTATTTTTGATGCAGTGTTTGAGCTCATTGTATTTGAATTCGTGTAATTAAGTAACCGTCGAATAGGGATAGGTGAGATGACACGTGTGACCACGATGAACAATATTTGAGACAAAGCATTTGTGCACGGTGAGGTACATGTACAGTTCAACATCAAACAAAGGCCTTTTTTGTAGCTTTGAAGTTTGCCGGTGTTTCAGTCCATCATATCTTGCAGGGCATTTTTTAACTATACAGGGTGTCCCAAACAAAGCGAAAACGATTCAAATCACCAATAACAATTTAATTGTTAGAATTTGAATGCCTTAGCGCTCTGGTGGTTCTCACGAGTGCATAAATAATTGACATAAGTAAATGTTATGCATAAAGCAACTGTTTAAGAAGCTGTTTTAAATTCCCAAGAGCAGAAAATCGCGCAAATTACTTGAGATGTTCTTAACTAAATTTTAATGCATGCACTTTGTCAATATTTTACGCATCAGTACGTTCAGCTTTTTGGTAGAGCATTCAATTTTTACAATAAGTGATTTCAATAGTTTTTTTTTGGGACACCCTGTATAACTACTGGGGCATTACCCCCAGTAGGCCCTTTGATGGCCCTAGTAGTGAAGCGATATTTTCAGATGAGCTGGGCCCTTTCGATCATTAGTAAAAAGTCATCCTTGTTGAAAAAGCTGCATCTGCCTGCTTTCTCATGTCCTCTCACATTCTCGATGACATTCCATCTTACAAAAGTCAGCACAGCATGGCCTTTATGCACGCATAATTGTGTGGGTGAAAGGCCCTCATCGAGACTTAGCCCCAGTAGTTGTAATTTCTTAAAAAATGCCTTGGTTTCGTTATCTTGACAGACTATGACTATGACTATGATGGGATTGAGCTAGGCCATCTCTCCTACTCCCAACATTTCAACCTGTGAAGAAGACAACTAAAAAGATTGGAATTAAAAAAATGTGCTCTCTTTCGGCAGTTTTTCCCTCGGGAGAAGACATTAAATGGAATCTGCATGTAATAAGAATACTGAAAATACACGACTGCATGATGGTCTTTCCGTGCAGGAAAGTTATCAAAGATTGTTTCACAGGATTCGTCAAGTACAATAATTGAATTCAACTCTCGTCCTTTCAATCGCCGAGCTTGCCATACAAGATTCTCGAAATAATGCCTACGAAATAATGCCTCGACGTATATGCCATACTTCAGTAGCCATATAAAACTAATACACTTCAGAACATGTCTACTTCCGAGGGAAATGGTTTGTTTGCTGAAAGAGACGTCGAGAGGAAACATTGAGATTTGTGGGGGAAACAACAAAAAAATTAACGATTTCCAGAGGGAACAGACATAAAGTGTTTTGTTAGTTATATAACAACGAAAGAAAAATCAACAACAATTGTATTTCATGACAAAACTCTATCCACTATTGTGTAAAGGAGTTTAAAATCAAAAGAACCTAGGCTACTTAAACGGTTTCAGCAGCATATCCTATTGCCCGTTCTGAATTTTTTCTTCTCCTTTATCTTCTTCATTTTAAAACAAACTCGGAAAACCCAATTTATAAACTTGCGAGTTGCGCCGCCATTTTGTCTATTTATGTACGTATAGCTGGTCGGGGCGCGCAAAAATTTTTCACTTAATGCCCTGGGGGTGGGAGGATACAGTACTTTGCATCTATCTGAAGCCACGTGACCACGAATCAGCCAATCACGTTTAGTTTCAGCACTAGCTATATAACAATATTCAGTTTACTTACGTTGCGCTTAAATTACTAAATAGTAGGGCTGCTAAGAGTGAAAATCGTTCAAATCGTGATCACATTCTGAAACTTGGCACAGATACTTATTAGGATGTGGGTAGTACGAAATGGAAGGGTTGCCCAAAATTTGAGCAGGGGAAAGTGTCCGTTCCGGCCTTCAAAATGACCGACAATTGGGATTTCAGACTATATCAAGAAATTAGCCCATTTCGAAGTTAAAAATACATCTGTACAATCTCCAATGTATTTATACTTTAGTTTTATACTGTACATTCTCGCTGGATAAAACAAACCTACAAAAATACATCAAATACTGCATAAACTACTCGTGCATATTTTAGGATAAGCAACAATAATTTCGAACAAATGAGAATTTCACGCTGACACATGACATCTATCGTCTAAATCCAAAATAAAAAAAATCTCTAACCTACGTTTGACATTGAAAAATTATTTCTATATGTCAGAAGTGTGTTTTTTTCCGTTTATGACTCCATATAATGACAATATATCGATGGCCACAAATGTTGGTCTTCGTCGCCATTTTGAATTTAAGTTTTTAGAGATACAAATATCCCTCAAAGTCCCGAAGTGCTCCGAACCGTCCCGCTGCCTAAATTCCAAGTTCAACAAGACAAAAAGCGCGCGAAAGCCTGTAAATGGTAAGTTTTTTATGATAAAAATTCTGTTTTAATAATTTTTTTATAAAAAAAATTTTCTGCCTTTTTTAAAAGCTATAGCTTTCATAGCATCAATCGTATTACAGCCCACAGGCACAGAGGAAAATGTGTTCTCGGCTTGAAAGAATGTTTGGAAACCTTTTTATTATTATTAATGGATAAACGTACAGATTGACTGCAGTTTGTTTAACTGAAACAAATTAATTACGAGTTTTAATATTGATTATGAAGATTTAACTTCTAATATACTTCACATTTATAAAGTCGTTTTTCACGTGTTTTAAATTTATACGTGAAAAGTTTTCTTAATATTTTTACAAAGAATAGAGCTGATATTTGCAATTGTATTTATGGTGAACTTTTTGCTCTGTTTCAGTAGCTGTGACGTTTAAAGTGTAGTTACATGTATTCGAGAACATATAAATAATGGATTGGAGTTTGTGTGCTCTGTGCCAACTCGATGGCAATAATCTCATTGTACCATCTGCAAATTTGAATCCAGCTGTATGTGGATACTCTGCATTAGCAAGGAACATAGATGCATTTATTAATGAAGGTCTTCCATTACCAAATAAGATAAATATTGCTGTAGTTGATCTGAAAGGGGATACAAATATTGCTGATAACCTAAAAGCCAATAAAGCTCGGTGGCATAAAAGATGCCTGACAGAATTAGCACCTTCAAAGCTTAAGCGTGCATTAGATTCAGCTGCTAATAAAAAACGTAGAAAAACACTTTCTGAGGATATACCATCTTCTAAAAGAACACGTTCCAGCATAGACACAAGTACACAGTTAAAATCTTGCCTGTGTCTTTTTTGCAACGAACCAGGTGTATTCAGAGCCGAATATGCCAAGACGAAACATCCAAATGCGCACAAACGAATGAGTAAAGTTCGTACTGATAACTGTGATGATTTTGTCAGAAAAGCTGCTGCTGAAATGGGAGATGCATTGCTCCTTGCTAAGCTCTCAGAGGGAAACTTATTTGCAAGAGATGCTTGCTACCACCTACAATGTATGGCAGAATTCAGAAACCGATATAGAGCATTCTTGGTGCCAAAAGATGACGACACTGCTAGGGTGAAGGACTACGAAAGTTCTGCGCTCGCTGAAACAATGATGTACATTCAAGAACAGTTGTCGATAAGTACACACACAGACGTACCGGCATCGGTGAAGTTATCAGACATTAGAAAAACCTATTATAATAGTTTAAGTAGACTGGTTGGCAAGGAAATGAACGTAAATGCCACACGGCTTAAAGATAGGATTCTCGACTTAGACAGTGACCTGCAAGCTGTTCCAGATAAGAAGGAAATTTACATATCGTACAAAGATGACATGGCAGCCGCTTTGAAATATGCTAGTCATTCTCAAGCCAGTGATGTTATGGGTCTTTGCCAGATTGCTAGAAAAATTAAATCTGAGTTAGCAGACAAAAAGGAAACGTTTACTGGTCACTTTGAAGAACAATGTCAAGAACAGTCAGTATCTCCTACATTATTGTCCTTAATGAATATGTTGACCGGATTTGAAAGCAAATGTAAAGAAGGCTCGTCCAAGTTTTCTCCCGCTTTAGTCTTGGCTCAGCTGCTCACATATAATTCAGCTCAAAAGAGATCACACACGGGGGATTTTCGCAATAATGCAGTTCGTGAAACACCAGTGGCCATTTATATAGCATTTCTTATTCACTCGAAGACAAGAAGCAAGGACCTGGTAGATAGACTTCACTCACTGGGGTTATGTGTCTCATATGACCGTCTTTCAACGTTATCAACACAATTAGGGAACAATGTTATTAATCAGTTTGACAAAGATGGATTGGTATGCCCCAACTCATTGAGAAGCAAACTCTTCACCACATATGCCGTAGACAATATTGATCATAACCCAAGTTCCAGAACAGCAAAGGATTCGTGGCATGGCACAGCGATATCTGCTTCCCAGCATTTGGAAAA